TGCTGCTGCTGCGCCGCCGGAGCATGGTTTCTGTTCTCATCCTGAAGCAAAGTTCTTAACCTGAAGCGTTATTTCTGGGTTAGTGGAGTTTGTAACCTGAAGCGTATATAACCTGAGGTGCCACTGTAAATCTCTGTCAAGTTCTTCTAATTCCCTGCTAAAAGGCCTCATCTTCTTATGCCATTACTTCAGACATAAGACACTGTTGTTTCTTGATCTCACTTTCTCTAAGTATATATGCCATGGTAAGTGTGAGAGCGTTGTATTGGGGTTGGTTTATTTATTTGTATGAATTTCTATACTGCTCAATATATAAAATACCTGAGCCATGTACATTTTAAGACCTGAAAGCAACAAGCAGAATAAAATACACGAACAACTGTAAATCATCTTTAGTATGTACGTGCTTTCACAAAGTACAGCTGGGTGACACATAGAGAAATACCATGCAGGTATCAGTTCTTGTTTCAGTCTACAGCTGAGTGAACAAGGAGACATAATGCTCCTTGTACTGAGAAGTGCATTGAGTCGTAGTTCCTCCATTTTGCAGCAGCTTGTAGTGCTGCTGTTGGGGGACCGCTCTCTGCCACTTGTGATCATGGATTGCCAGATTCTTTAGGGGTTTATGTACCTTGTGTACAGTACCGTCTTTTAAATGATGCTGAACAGTGTAACCCTATACATACCTTTCAAAAATAATTCCCACAGAGTTCAGTGAAGCTTTCTCCCAAATTACTGGGTATAGGGTTGCAACCTAAGCACATCCATTGCTTTTAGTCATGAGGGCCATATACTACCTCCAGAATCAAAGTCATGCCTTTGAGTACTGGTCGCTGGTAAGCAACAACATAAGCATGAGAGAGCTATTGTGCTGCTTGTGAACTGGATTGAGCAAGAGGAAATGGAATTCTGGGCTAGGTAGACCTTTGATCTGATTTTGCAGGGCTCTCTTTATGGGATAATTAGCTAAGTCATGCATCAAATCCTGCAGGGTTCTTCTAATGGCTAATATTTTAAATTTTCAGCTGTGCAATGCTTTAACAGAGGAGGCGAGATTGCCCTTTCCTCATTTTTGATCTAGTGCTATCAGCTGGCCCCCAAGCTGTTGATGACATCTTTTGTAAAACATACCATAGCTATTGCTGGTAGTGATAAGTTAAAATAAATGCTGTTATAAATCTCAGCCGAATTACTAAGGTTTCTCTGTAACTATGGAAACATAGTTCTAGAAATTAGAGTGCAAAAGGGAGAATCTTAGTGTTACTGTGACAACTGATAAGTACATGAAAGCTAAAAAAGTGACAGAATTTTTACAATATGGTCATATACAAGCCCGGTAAAATTGTGTATGCTTGAGTACTGAGATACTGCACAGTCATGTGTGTATAGGTATCCTTACAAGGGTTTGTTGTTTCACATTTCATCTGATTATATATACAGTTATAATAATATAGCTTGTATGCTTCAAGCATATGTATGTTCCTGGCTGACTGCAAATCTTCCTCCTCAAATTAAGAACCAGGGAGGGACCATCACTCACTACATGCTTTGTGAACAGAAGATCTCAGGTTCAAACCCTGGCATCTCTCCATTTGAGGATTAGGCAATAGGTAATGCAAAGTTCCCTACCTGAGACCCTGGCAATCTACTTCTGGTCAGAATAGAGTCACTGGTGGAGGAAGAGGAGTGCAGGGGGAGGTCACCGTCCCCGGCAGCGCGATCCCAGCAAGGTACCATTGCAGCTGCCCCCCCCCCAGCCCACGCAAACAGCTCACCACGCCCCCAGGATGTGCACCAGCCCCGTCCCCACCTGCTCTCCACCCCCCAGTGCCGGAGCATGAAGCTCTGCTACTGAATAGAGTAAAATGGAGCTGGACTGGAGAGATAACTTGTCTGGCAGTGGTTTAGGGCAGCTTCCTATGTTCCTAAATATGCAGAAATAATATTCATTGCTGCTGGCTGTTCCACTTCTGACAGTGTTTGAATGTGTAAAAAAAGGTCATCCTGTGAAGGAAGCTTTTACACAAGTGAAAAGCGGTTGAACCTTCTTCCTTCCTTCCTGATCATCTAGTTTTCTGTGTTTGGGGAATTTCTTCTTGATGGATCATTCAAACATATGATTCTCAAACCAGCAACCTCAATTGTACAGTTTAGGAAGTGAAGCACACATTTGCATATTTTGAATTGGCCCAGAGGCCGCTTGAAGTATATGAAGGTGAAACTCCTACAGGCCAATATTGTCTCCCATCTGTGCTTTGGCTCACTTTGCTGGCTTCTGTTATTGGGAGACCTGGCTCCCAGTTTCAGAGAGATGAAAACAACCCATTTTTAGACTTTCCTAGTTATGGTAAATTTGAGTAAGTGTACATTTGGTTTACAGTCTATTGGGAAGTATCTTAATTTCTTGCTACTTTCAGTCAATGAGGCACAAGCATCTTTGTTCACTTCTATGCTTTGGGGGATTCCCATATGTATTTCTATGAATGTATTTCTATGAATGTATACAATGCAACTTGAATTTTATATTTAAAAATGGATTTCAAAATGCAGATGTTTTCTGTTTTCAGATATAATGGGCCTTTCTGACCTGGATTTGCTATCGGCATGGAAGTCAAATGGGGCCACCCCAAAATAAGATGGTTTCAAGAGGTACAGAATGTTGAAGGGGTTGGGGTTGGGGAGAGGAGAGGAGAAAGAATTGGCCCACTCATGCCTTATCAGTCTGGAAGCGGGGGGTTAGGTTGGGGAGAATGTGTGTTGCCCAGAGTGGCTGGGGAAACCCAGCCAGATGGGCAGGGTACAAATAAATTATTATTATTATTATTATTATTATTATTATTATTATTTATTATTAATCTTAGACTTCAGGGTTTTACCATGGCTTCTGATCAAGAACAAATCATGGCTTGTTGGTTTGGGTGCAGTGGTAAGCTGGGTTTGTTTCAAAGCAGGAAAGGAGGGAGAGTATCACTAAACAAGAGTGAGGAGAAAGAGGAGGAGGAATTTGTAATAGTGAACCTTCCAAAATTCCCTGATACTGAGTCAGATTATTATGACTGTATGATACATCACCTTGGTTAGCAGTATGCAGTATGAGACAGCTCTTGACTTAATTTTTACTTATTAAATAAAATGAATCTGCTTTCTGAAATGTATATGTGTTTGCTTTTGGAAAAGGTAGTTTCATGGTAACATCTTTCATATGTATTATTTGGATTAAATTACAGGCTTAAAATAGACAGCATTGCTTATATGTAAAAAAATAAAAGCTTCATATAGACTGAAACATTCAAACAAATTTTCTGTGAACTTAAGCTCTTTCAACTCTTTAATAATGGAAGAAGATTGCATAGATGTTAGAATGATTCCTGGCCTCTAGGCAAACAGTGAAATTAAATGAGTTGCCTTTATATTTCTATACCATTTTGTCTGTAGTAATACTGATCTAGATGCTAAGCTGCAACAATAGAAATTGTAGTGTTTCCCTGACAACTGAGAAAAACAGACATGCATAAAAACTGAGGTTGAAGGATGCAGCACTCATAGATAGTGTGGGTTGGGATGGCTTCTTGCCTCGCTTGAGATAGCAAGTAAGGGGGGGGGATATTATGAGAAGAGTAGTTCTAAACTCTTTGGCATCTGGAAGGGGCTTCAAGAAAGCAAATGAGAATACAAGATCCTGGCCAGATTTGACCATAATTTGGTGAGCTTCAGGTAAGTTTTCCTTTTTGCACATTATATGTAGAAATAATCATAAGTCAGACTCTTGTCAGTCCATTCCATTCTCAGTGCAAACCCATATTCTTTCTACTCCCAGACCCTTTCCATCCATGCCACTAAAACTGACATCTTAGTCTATAAGCAGCTACTTCCTAAATTTGCAGCAACTAATCATAATTTTTGTTCAGTTCATTTTAGCCTCTCCTATCATCTTTCTCTTACTTATACACAGTTCTCCACTAGCGGATGTGCACTAAAAGCCCAATTGAAGTAAATGAAACAGATGTGTGGGTAGGTACAAAATTGTATTCTTTTAAGTTCAGTTTTTTCTGACCTCATGGATTGTTGGGAACAAATGAACCCAGTCCAATCATGACTTGTTGGAGCAATGTGAACCTATGTGGCAGGAGGGAGGCACTTTCATGATTAAACCATTATTTTAAATGCCGTGTGACTTATTGTGACTTACTGTGAATGAAGCAAGTATAGGCCATCTGAGCAGGAATTGTGCCAGTTTTGTGTCTTGTGCAGTATTCTTCACACACTATTAATATGGAACTGGCAATTATTTAAAACGTATACATCACCTTTTCAACCTTGTCTCAGTTTTTAAGTTTTAAAATACTGAAAAATATGTAGTAATTAAAAATTGTGTTGCAGGCTGCTTTGCTGTTTGTTGAATTTTTGTGAATTAAAAATGTACACCTCAGTGTAAAGAAGAGCTCGGTGAGCGCAGCAAGGTGAGTGATATAGGAAGCACAGAATTACTGTGCTTGGTCTTGAGTTACAGTACTCTAGCTGCCATGAAAAGTCTGTGTGCTGTAAATGGCTACATGCAGAAAAAAAGATTTGCAGATGTGATAAGAGAAGTCATCCGGAAGGAATTAGTCACAGTAGGCTGTTGTGCAGGTGCTGTTACCATAGCAAGGAACGTGTGCACATGTGATCCTTTTTTGAAATGCAGTATAGTTGCTGAGGAACAATTAGCTTCCTGTCTTTACCATAGGGATATAAGTGAAACAGTGGGCAACTCATGAATGTACCTGCTGTACTAATGACTGTTTTCACTATGAAACAAAGTGTTATCTATGAATTTAACTGATGTCAGTTTAGATGTTTTGACTTTGTATGTTTTTAGGTGCACACAAGATGCTCCTGGGTGGGTTTGACTTTCCTGCTAACTTTAAATTAACTTTCCTTTCTCCAGCTGAATGTTGTGTTGCCTGCTCTAGATGGGGATCATACTCCCTCTGAAGGATCAGGTTTGTAGTTTGAGGGTTCACCTCGATCCATTGCTGTCACTTGAGACCCAGGTAGCCTCAGTGGTAGAGTGCCATAAGCTTAGGCTGGTGGCCCAACTTATGACCCTATCTGGACAGGGATAACTGGGCTACAATGATAACTGTGCTACAGTCTACTAACCAAGATTGGATTAGTGCAACGTTCTTTATATGGGGCTGCCTTGGAAAACAGTTTGGACGTTTCTGTTAGTGCAGAATGGGGCTGTCTGACTGTTGACTGATTTGAGAGGAACAGTTCATATAGCACCAATTCTGTTACAAGTACACTAGATTGAATGAATGATTATGGAATGAGAAAACTACGTGTTTTTGCTGCAGGCAGGGTGTACAGTTTATACATAGTGTATACACAGCTCTGTGTGTGTTTGAATGAACGGTAGGTGTTTGTATGAATTATTTTAATGTTATAATTTATTTATGTTTGTTTTTAAATATATTGTAAGTTGTTTTTAGGCCTTCAAGTAACAAGTGACTAACTAGTCTAAATAAATGCATGTCCAGAGTGGTCACAGATGTTACACTGAATGTGGGACTGTCTGAAAGTTGAGAATTCCATGTGTGTACTGGAGATGCCATGTTTCATTGGCAAAGGGGAGACAGAAGAGGAGGTATGGGAAAGCCTGCTTCAGCCACCTGTCTTCCCCACTCAATCTGCTGGCCTACCCATTCATACCTTATCTCGCAAAGCAACCAATGGCAGTGATGGAAAGTAGGATGGGTTGCAAAACGCACTGCACACTGATCCGCCTGCCTGCCTCCTCAAGACCAAGGCTGCTTGCCTGCTGGGGCAGCTTTCCAGTGACAGGCCTGCTGTAGTGCCACTTTCTTCCTCTCTGACACCTGATGCTGCTGGGGCAGACACTGTGTTGCTGGAACGAGGTATGCAGCAGCAGCAGCAGCAGCAGCAGCAGCGCAGCAAGGTTGCTCAGGGGCTGCCCTGGCTTGCCTTAGCTGTTCCTTTGCAGCTCATCTGGGCCCACTGCTTTCCTGCCTGCCTGCTGCTCTGTCATCATTGGTGTGGCTGCCTACTGGCGACCATGGGAACTGCAGCATTGTGACATTCTTTGATTCAAAAATATAGTACATGTAGGGCCTGCCATCCACATGCTCGTTATATGAAAATTCACTTATCCAAACATGACAGGTGCTGTCTCCAATCCTATTTCAGTAGCTGAAACCTCTGCTTGTGCAACTGCAGCTATATTAGTACCATTGGATCTGGTTTGTCATCATACCATGATTGGAGATCATGGAGCGTTAACAGTGGAACACCACTTCATCTTCGTGACTTCCAGGAGAGATTGTATGGATGCTGTTCCCTTTTGAGAACTGGCTATAGGTTTTTCAAGATAGGCATGACCTGGAACAAGTTTGGCCACTGCTAAATGTAGATCAGTTCATCTGTATACAGTAATGATATTGTTTCTCCAAATCTTTTTAATACATTCTCCATAAAGACATGTTAGAATAGTTGGGCTTATTTGGTGCCAGTGACTTCATTTGTTTCCATGGTGCTTTGAATTTTTGCCAAGCAAAATTCTTAGCAGTATTGAGCAATTTAAGTGTCTTTGCTAGCTGTGTCTTTAATCCTATGTACACAACTATCAGTTTTGCCAGGACTTGTTTATTCTGTTTGCTGGTAGAAAGTTTTTCTGTAGTCCTCTTTGCTAATGTATTTTCGATTCTCTAAATGGAAATACAATTATTTATTTTAAAGGTAAAGTGAACTCAAAAGGGAACTATAACCTCATATCCAGCAAGATTCACAAAGATGCTTCATTTCTGCTGAGCAATTAAAAACTGATCTCCCCCCTGCCCCCGAAGTTACACTGATGATAATCATGGGAATACCTGATTTTGTGGATATATTTTATGATTACAAGTAGGTAGCCATGTTGGTCTGCCGTAGTCGAAACAAACAAACAAACAAAATTACTTCCAGTAGCACCTTAGAGACCAACTAAGTTTGTAATTGGTATGAGCTTTCGTGTGCATGCACGGGTATCTGAAGAAGTGTGCATGCACACGAAAGCTTATACCAATAGCAAACTTAGTTGGTCTCTAAGGTGCTACTGGAAGGAATATTTTATGATGCTTTCTTCTTTAATAATAGTTAACAGTGTTTCTATTCTTTCAGATTAACACTCTTATAAACAGATAATAGCAAGGACTCTACTTTTCAAGAACCCATTATTTGATTATGCATGTGCAGAACACAAGTGGTAAAAATTAATCTTTATTCATGAAGTGCTCTGAGACCTTTATTCATGAAGTGCTATGAGCTGTAGGAGTACAAAGAATTATTAGTGTGTCAATGGGAGAGTGAAAATACTCAAGATGCCAGTGTAATGGAATTAAGATGCTTCACCTATTAGGTTGCTTTAGATTAGTTAGCAAGAGCCTGAAATTTTCTTTCTTATATTTAATTGCAGTGATTCGTCAAATTGGGGTGGGTGAAGGGAGGGAAAGTGAGTATTTATGATTCCTTGAATCTTAGTAAGCTTGAGAGCAAATCCAAGATAATGGATATTTGTAGCAAAATAATTTGCTCTTTGGGACGCAGGTGGCGCTGTGGGTTAAACCACAGAGCCTAGGACTTGCCGATCAGAAGGTCGGCGGTTCGAATCCCCACGACGGGGTGGGCTCCCGTTGCTCGGTCCCTGCTCCTGCCAACCTAGCAGTTCGAAAGCATGTCAAAGTGCAAGTAGATAAATAGGTACCGCTCCGGCGGGAAGGTAAATGGCGTTTGCGTGCGCTACTCTGGTTCGCCAGAAGCGGCTTAGTCATGCTGGCCACATGACCCGGAAGCTGTACGCCAGCTCCCTCGGCCAATAAAGCGAGATGAGCGCCGCAACCGCAAAGTCGGTCATGACTGGACCTTATGGTCAGGGGTCCCTTTACCCTTTTAATTTGCTCTTTAATGGCAGCTAGCAACTTTTGTTGGTTCCAGTGCTATTAAAACTTATCATCCTTTCATTGTGAGAACTGTTGATTTTATTACTATTCTCTGCTTCCTGTTCTTTGACCAGTTACTGATCCATAAGAGGACCTGTCTTCCTATCCTGTGACTTGCTGAGCTTGATGAATGTTTTCCAAGGGTTGGATCCAGTGGCGTATATGGCCAAATCCGCACAATACATTTAAAGCACAGTTTTATCCGTTTAAAAGCCATGGTTTTCCCCCAAAGAATCATGGGAACACTTGTTAAGGGTGATGAGTTTTTAAGAGACCCCCATTCATCTCACAGAGCTATAATTCCAAGAATTCCCTGGAAAGGATTGATAAACAACTATGGAGAGCCACTACCAGTCACTGTATAGTATTGAGCTGGATGGATCTATGGTATAAGGCAGATTCCTATGCCATTCCTAAATCCTGTTTGGATGCCAGATTCCACATACAAACCATTACAACTCTGACTGTGGTTGTGCCAGTCTGGTGGCTATGATAAAGTGGCATGTATGCATTGATTTGATGCAGTAAGAAAGTCTGACAGGTAATTAATTTTTTGTGCAGCAGCTGAACACTAGCAGCATAGTACATGTGAGATTTGCTGCTTTGAATAATAAGGCATCTTGTGGAGTTTCAGCTTCATCACAGGGCTAGGAACCCTGTGTTCCAACCCTGTGTTCCAAGAGTCACATGCAGCTCTTGACCTGATTTCATGTAGATGGAGGAACTGGAAGGGAAGGAAGAAGAGAAAAATTGGGGTGGGGGGGGAGAGTGGTTGAGAGGAATAAAGTTGAAGGGGCTATTTGAACAGCGTCTGCAGTAGAGAGCAGTTGTATATTGATTTAGAATAACCAGAAAGTGTAATCATAATAACAAAATGTTTTCCAGAAGACTTTTAAAATGAGGGAATATGATGACTGTACGCTAAACAGAACCATAAGAAGGAATTTAATTTTTGACTTGACAAGACCATGTGATTGTCTTAATGAAATTGTACCACCTGAGATATATCGGAGAGAGACTGCATGATGAAATATATCTCTCCCCATTTAAAAAACTCCCACCAGGTACAAAGCTAGCACCTTTGGTTGAACACTTCAAGCTTCGTTTGAATTTTCAGGTGCTTTTTTAAACACAATTCCTCATGTGCAGAATGGAAATGGTATGATTCTGTGCACTGCTGAAAGTTGGATTAAGTTATACTCTCAGTTTATAAAGATAGTGGAGGAACTTGCCTCTGTGTGAGAGGGGTAACAGTCACTGTCCCCTCAGTCTGAAATCACGTTGAGTCATTGCAGTCCTGACATTGGATTAAATACCTCAGAACTCTGAGGCAGTAAAATGGACTTTGGGTTCAGAGACTTGCACACTCAAAATGTTCTCACAATTGTTATAAATGGCCTTGATACACATTTCACCAGTAGAAATTTGAATGAAGAACTCTATAAAGTGTTGTTTTTTTTAAAAAAAGAATGGGCTCCATTTCTCATTTATGAAGGTCATTATTTATCTGTAGACACAGCTGCTTTACTTTGGGGAAGCTACTCTTAGTCTGAGATAATATTTTTTGTGGGATTGGGGGCACACTCTAATCTAGACCTTTGAGGATATTTACATAATTGCATGTTGCGGGCTACCTCCCCCCAATAACGTCCTTATTCTACACCTGTTCTGCACCATTTCCTGGGAGCTTAACATAGAAATTCAGGTTTGGTTTTTAAACTGTTAGTTGCTTCTGTTTCTGATTTCCTTTCATCTTTGTGGTTACAAGCTATTAGCTCTTTTTGATCTCAGGGTGGTTCACAGCATTGAAATACAACATAAAACACATAATAAAAACAAGAACAAAAACAAACCCCATACCCTCTCACAAACCCTTAAATATAAGGGTATCAGATGTTAATCAGTCAAAAGCCTTGTTGAAGAATAATATTTTTGCCCGCTGCAGCCATGGAGGAGTGTTGAGGGTTTCATTAATTCAAATTTCAAAAGTATTATTTTATATTATCCAATAAATATTTGTATAGTTCACTTTTGTGCACAAGTGGAAAAACTTCATAATTCTTTAAAAAATATCTTTATGCAAGTGGGACCTGCAACAAAATGTATTAGTGTGGAACATCCCTGTTCATCGGTGGTTGAAACCCTGCCCTCTTCAAGGATACTCAAATTCCATGCCCCGCTCCAGTCCTCAGCATTCCATGACCACTGGGCATGCTCAGTCCTCAGTTGTGGTTTTTTCGGGGGGAAGGGGGATTCTACCCCCCCACCAAGATTTTTTCCTAAATATTCTTTGTATTTCTGTAAACTTTGAGCTTCTTCCAGTAAGCTGGCTGATACCTCTCTGTGTGGATAGTACTGTTTTGGCTACATAAGAACAGGCACTCAGAGAATTAAAATTACTGTTAGCACTGTATATAGCACTGGGACCCTGCAACAAAGGAAGTGTATGTGTATGTGCTGGTGGAGGAGGGGGAAGCCTCCCTTTTCATGTAGGAGACTCTTTAGATTGTGAGAAAGTGAGTGGGGGGCACTATATGTGTGTGTGTCTGTGTTTTTGACATCTTCCTACTTTTCCAGATATTCCATTGCCCATCCCTCCCCTACCCCCCCTAATTGCCAGCATTCTATGAACATTCTATGAGCAATCTATGAGCAGGGACGCGTGTGGCACTGTGGGTTAAACCACAGAGCCTAGGACTTGCCGATCAGAAGGTCGGCGGTTCGAATCTCCACGACGGGGTGAGCTCCCGTTGCTCAGTCCCTGCTCCTGCCAACCTAGCAGTTCGAAAGCACGTCAAAGTGCAAATAGATAAATAGGTACCGCTCTGGTGGGAAGGTAAACGGCGTTTCCGTGTGCTGCTCTGGTTCTCCAGAAGCGGCTTAGTCATGCTGGCCACATGACCCGGAAGCTGTACGCCGGCTCCCTCGGCCAATAAAGCGAGATGAGCGCTGCAACCCCAGAGTCGGCCATGACTGGACCTAATGGTCAGGGGTCCCTTTACCAGTTAAAGGTAACTGAGCACACTCAGTTCTCACTAGACTCTCGTTGGAGGGGACCTCTCCCCCAGTTATGCAAACCTTGAGATTACCCTCACTCAGTCTGCTGATGCCTCTCTTTTGTATGGGGCTGTTACTGTGTGGGCTATGTAAGTGAGGGCACTTGGAGATTGGAATTGGAATTAGAACACAGGGCAGTGACTACAGAGAGCATAATGGAACAAATGGCTGAAACGCCATCTGAAACACCTAACAAAGAGCTCACAGAAGTAATCCATACAACATTTATTACATGAAAAAGTTCCCAAGTCTATTCCTATGTACTGCAGCTGATGCTTGTGTTTTACACGACCAGAAGGAGGGTTCTGATGGATTGAAAGGGTATTAGTCCTGCTGTATCTTTAAAGTAAAAAAAAAGATTTTTTTTCATTTGTACCTGATGTTTTTTTTTTTTATCTGTTTGCAAATGTTGCTCTAATGGTTTGAAACCCAGTCGTGTCATTTCTTTACGCCCACACAGAGCTGCAGTAGTACAGACACTGTAGCAGGAAAACCATATTACCAGCTAGAGCCATTAAAACTCTTCCCACGCCAAATGTGGGTTGAAATCACCCTCTTCTTCCCTCCCCACCCCAAAGCCCACCGCCCACCACCAAACCTTCTGTGCATCGGTGTGTTTTTTTTACACATTTTAAAAAAGAGAGCCAGAACAATTGAAAAGAAGACTCTGAATCCTTTGTTGTTGTTGTTGTTCCAGCGCTTTCCCAGAGAAACCTGAAGCACACCTCTGGCCTATGGACTTAGCCATCTAAAGGTTAGCAAGAGCTTTGTTGTTAATTTCTCTGCTTAGCTTTGATGAGAGACTGCAAAGAACGAGAAGGGCTAAGTTGTGGGTATTTTAATGCAGTGACTGTTAGGATGGTTGCTTTT